ATGTGAAATCCATGCGGGCCAGATGTGGGCCGGATCTGGGCCGAAACTGTCTGCTGTCTGGGGTGCAGAGCGGTGGGTCTACAACAAAGCTTGTAACCGGTCTTCTAGTTAAGATTTTATTTGTTTGTTTGTTTCCTGACATATTTATAATTCTTATTATTGTCATTTTACAGGAGTTTGTTGCTGGTCTGTCACTCATCCTTAGAGGCTCAATATATGACCGGTTAAATTGGGCATTTAATTTCTATGATCTTGATAAAGATGGATTCATCACACGAGAGGTACTTGAAATGATGCTTTGATCAGTTTAATGTCTAGAAAGATTAATGTAAAAGCATATGTGTGTGTATGCGGTTTCGGTCTCCCAGGAGATGATGAAGATCATGAAGTCGATTTATAATTTGATGGGGAAGTATGTGTATCCCTCCATACATGATGATACTCCCAGAGAACATGTGGAAAACTTCTTTCAGGTGAACACAAACACACAGGATGTTCATTAATGTCCATGTTGTGACCCAAACATTTTTGTTTGCTAAAAAGTAAGGAACACAATTACTAAAGGAACTCCATGTTCTCTCTCCACATCAGCTACAATTAATGGAAAGTAATACATTCACTGCTGTGAAAATGTGTTTGCCCCCATCCTGATTCCTTTCATTTTTGTTTATATCTCAAACTTAATTGTTTCAAAAATGAAAACAAAATCTAACAAAATAAATGTAACTCAAGTAATAATATAGCTTTAAACAATAATGTTATATATTGAAGTTATCTAACACCAACTGGGTCGATGTGAAAATTCTGAAAAATTCCCAAATCTATGAAACTAGATGCAACCAGGCCTAATTATGGAAATCCGGGGAATGTGGAACACGATTTCCACCAACGGGGAAACCCCCCGGAAAACGATTTTTACCCAGGGGGCCCGAGTTAATATGCTGTTCAGGGGGCCCGCAAACCATAGCGGAGCCCCTAATTCTACTCACCATCCTCATAGTGTTTAATTGTTTATTACCACCACTGATTGTCTAATAAATACCACTCACTGTAACAACCTTCGTCACCTTCTGTGTCAGAAGACAAGACCGTAACAGCATGGATCCAGTAAGATTGGGCCTGGATCCGTTTACTGCAACCATGTCAGTACATGTGCAGCGGAGTTTTGAATATACTGCATTTGCTTAATATACTTATCAGGGAGAGCCGAATAAAGTGTATAGCCGTTACAATAATCTAGTCTCGACATAATAAAGGCATGGATAAGCCTTTTCACATCAGGCAGAGATAAAGATGGTCAAAGTCTGGCAATGTTTCTGAGATGGAAAAATGCAGATTTTGAGACTGTTTTAATATGGGCATCGAATGACAATTGTGAGACTAAAACAGCACCTCGATTTCACACCTGTGATGCTGGAGACAGTAAGTCAAAATCAGTAAACAGATTGAGACCATTACATTTACGCAAAGCTGTCAGCATACCAACAAGTAGCAGCTCAGTTTTTGATTGTTTAGTTTAAGATAATTGTCATGCATCCACACCTTTATTTCTTCCAAGCAGGAGGTGAGGGATGTAATTGCGAGATTAGGGTCTAGGAGTAAGCTGACATCGATCTGCGTGTCATCAGCATAACAGTGAAACCCCAGACCATACTTTATTATAATGTCTCCAAGCTGCATCATATAGATACAAAACAAAGTGGGTCTGAGAACTGACCCCTGTGGGATGTCCTCCTGAACTAATGTTGCCTCAGACTGTTACTGCCTCAGATGTCTCTTGTGTTGTAGATGCCCTCGTTGACACAGGGTCAGTAGGCAACTTCATCTCCCAGGAGCTCAGCAAAAGATTACTCCTCTGGCCCATCTCTCTGAACACCCAGTTGGCCATTCAGTCAGTCGTGGGACAGCAGCTGGGTAAAAGACGTATCACCCATTAATCACCCATGTTACAACTGCAAGTGAGAGTCTGCCGCAAAGGAGGCAAAGTTCTTTACCTTCTTCCTACATCCACAGCACCTTCATCCTTGGCAGATCCTGGTTCATCCAACACTGTCCACAAGTATCAAGGATTACAAGAGAAATCCTCAAATGGAACCAGAGCTGTCACCACTGCTGCATCACGTTTCCCATCCATCATCCTTCCTCCAGTCCATCTCCACTGCCATTGTATATATGTCCCACCACTGTTGAAAGTCTATCCATCAATCAGAACACTCACATCTCTTCTGAATACCAAGGCTTTCCCTCCCTCTTCTCTGCATATGAGGCCTCTGCACTTCCACCTCATTGCCCATGCTATTGACATCCTTCCAGACATCAAACTTCCACATGGGTGTTTACACCCTTTCTCAGCCAGAGCAGAAGACTGTAGAAGAGTATGTGGAGGAGGGTCTCCGCCAGGGATACATTTGTGGACCAGAGGAAAAGAAGGTTTGAGGCTTGAGACAACATCCTGGATCTGGCCTTACTTGATGCCTTCCATGCAGCCAATCCTAACTGTCTTGCACCGCATGGAAGAGGCTGGGCCAGTGTCGGAGGTCTTGGACCTCAAGAGTGGTCTGTGGAGGGGGGTAGGTACTGTAATGCATCCGCCTGGTTCTGCACCCCCTGTGCCGTCTCATTCACCAGAATACTGATCATCATCACCTGACCCTCATCACAACCCCGATCATGGACTGTATATACAGTATATTCACCCTTAATTCACCTTCTGAGTATGACCATCAAGCATTGTGTGTACTATTCGTCTTCTTCATCGGACATTTCCAAAAAAGGACTGTTATTGGTTGTGCTACTTTACCATTGATGTGATTGTGTTCTACGCACCTCCCTCGTCATGTTTCATTGTTCATTACCTCTATTTAAAGTCTAACAAATACCACTCACTGCAACAACCTCTGTCATCTTTATCCTTCTGTGACAAGTGAACCTTCCCAACAGCAGTTGAGGGAAACATGAATTCTGCTCTCTACCAGAAAATCTGTACATATGATTTTCTTTTAGTGGAATTTAGTGTTTAGTTTATACCAGATGTAACAGGACCACTCTCGTCTAAAATGTCCCCCTTTCGTCTTATCAGTCTACAATAATTTTCCCAAAATGGATAATGTCCGGTCTTCAGTCTGTAAGTGCAACTGGATTATACAGCTTGACAATGATCCAAAGCATAGGAGCAACTCCGCCATGAAAAGGCTGTTTTGGAGCGGTCTAGTCAAAGTCCTGATTTGAGCCTAATTGATATGCTGTAGCAGGACATTAAATGGGTAGTTCACACTCGAATTCTCTCTAATGTGACAGAACTAAAGCAGTTCTGCAAAGAAGAGTGAGGCAAAATACCACCACAGCACTGCTAAAGACTGATCTCCAGTTATCGGAAGCGTTTGGTTGCAGTTATTGCTGCTAAAGGTGGCACAGCTGGATTTTAAGTTTAATAGGGCAAATAGTTTTTCCCATGGGTGACAGCTGTGAAATAACTTTTTTGCTTTAAAATGAATGACTAAATAAATTAATTAATAAATAAAAACTGTATTATGTGTTTACTCAGGTTGCCTGGTTTATGTTGCATTTCATGTGATCTAAAACTATTTTGTATGAAATATACAAAAAAAAAGAAATCAGGATGGGGCAAATACATTTTCACAACACTGTATATTGCTTGAACTCAAGGATTTTCACCTCTTTTCAAGGATTTAATTATGCATCTGGAACTTTATTAACTTTTTTTTCCAGAAAATGGACAGAAACCATGATGGATTGATCACTATTGAGGAGTTCATGGAGTCATGTCAAAAGGTTGATCTCTACAACTTATTATTTTTATCAAAATGCAAAACATCATAATCAAAGATGAAATATCTCCAGGGAGTATTCCAGAGAGCAGGTTTAACTTGACATCATGACATTGCGATTATCATAACATAACCCAAAGTTGATTAAACAGTATGCATTGCTTGTTCACAGTCCCAGAATCATCCCTTGTACAACTATGGCTGGATTCACAAAACATTCTTAAGAAAAAAAGTCTTCTTAACTGCCATTTTTTTCTTATATTTTAACTTAAGAAACAAGTTAATAAAATGTTGTATTCCCAAAAATTCACTCAGAAGAGAACGCAAAAAACACAGCACAAACATGAATAAAACAGGTCGCTGCAACTTGAGACAAGTTAATTTTATGCATTTTATCAATAGCTTCCCAATACAACAAGGCTCTTTAAAAGTAACTGTTCAAAAACGCTGCACATTAAAAACACGAAGCCGAGCGCCAGTCAAGCCGGTCACCACGAGAATAGTGTGTGCGCTTTTTATGATTATTAGGGTAATCTAGAGGAAGAACAAAAAGACAATCCTTTAAGTGTGAGTTTATCAGTGTGTCTTCAGTCATGTATTCAGTCAGATAAAGACTAATTTTTTCTTAAGAAAAAATTAGGTTCTTAAGAACATATTTGAGAACTTAAGAATTTTTCAAGAATTGCACTGAAGAACATTATTATGAACTTCGTTAAGTGTGAGTTTATCAGTGTGTCTTCAGTCATGTATTCAGTCAGATAAAGACTAATTTTTTCTTAAGAACATATTTGAGAACTTAAGAATTTTTCAAGAATTGCACTGAAGAACATTATTATGAACTTCATGGAATTTATCTTTTATCTTATCTAATTTATTTTTTGTGAATCCGGCCCCTGGTGTAACTGTATATTGTGACAAGCATATGCACAACATGCATCATAATTGCATTTTTAAAATAAAATGTATATAGAAAACATCCCATTGGAGAAAAATGCAGCAATGTGTTAGAGGAGAAAATGTTGGGTTTAAGATTTGTAGGGTAAAATAAACTGTGCTGTAGTAATGCTATATAATTATAATATGACGTGTAGTCTGTGCTGCCATGCACACTGGAGCCTCAGCAGAAGGGAACACATGTGAAGCTGAGAGACATTAACCTGAAGTAAACTAACTCTGGACCACAGGTTCTTGGAGTAAGTTGCTATTAAAGTTCCCCCAGTTTTGGGGACTGAAAGTTGAAGTTAATGGCTTTCTCTGGGATAACTTACTAAAAGTTATAGTTACTTAACTTACTAAATGTTTGCTTTCTGGAATATCCTGCAGGAAAATGTGACTCTTGCCATTTACTTGTCTTTCTTTTCTGTTTATCTAAGGATGCAAATATTATGCGGTCAATGCGGCTGTTTGACAGTGTCTTTTAGGAGTTTCTGCCCAGCTGTGGATTTCGGCACATTCTTCTCTCTCCATCAAGAAATTTCTCCATCAAGAATCTTACTGTGTTCACACTGTACTTATATATTATGCATTTTTATAATATGTGGGGTTTGCTATTTTTTTTATCATAGAAGGCCTTTAGGGAAGCACACACCTGACAGGCAAAAGCTTAGCTCGTTCTGGAAAAATCAGTATGCAAAAAAGTATGTTTCGTTTTTAACCATACTGTTTATTGTATTTATTTTTTATTACTAACTTTTTTTGTGTGTGTGTTAACTCTGATTTTATCTCTTGCTCATTTACTTAATGATAAGTGCACTACAGCAAGAATGTGAGGGTTAATTTTATGTTACAAATGGTATGTTTCAGTTTGAAAAAGGGAGGAAAAGCGTGTTTTAAATCAGCTGTTATTAGAACAGAACAGATGAACAGACATCTTATACAGAGTGTATTTTGTTGTGCTGGAAATAAACATGTACCCAGGGCCGCTGCTGGCCAAATGGGTGCCCTAAGCAGGATTGTATTGTTGTGCCCCCTCCCTCAAATATTGTGGATGTAAAAAAAAAAAAAACACCTTGTACTATAGGGGTCAAAATAGAACTTTAATAAAATAGAAAAGTAAATAAATAAATAAATTGTAATTAAATTGTATTATTTACAAATTATTATTGTAGCTCTAGACAGTTACCTGTGGCTATGATTTTATTAATACAGTTGTCTGATTGATTTTATAGTCTCAAGAATTCAGAAATCACGCAAAAGATTAAACCATGATAACCATACTACGATAAAACCATGGTTAGTTTTTGTAAGGGTTGTAATGTCCACATGTTTTTTGTTGAAGAAATTATAGAGGCTGTGTCATCTATTGCAAAGAGGTGGCCAAAAATTAAAGATTAAGTGGATATTTGAATTAAATGTTTGGTTAATTGCCAATTAAACAAGGATTTGATCGTCCTGTAAGTATAACAGCAGCAATTACAATGAAACCATATAATTATTAATTAACCAATCATTATTGCCTCATTGTTGCATTTTAAGTAATTTTAAAGGCTGTTGTTGGCTTAGGTCTATTTTTATTACCACAAAAATATATTATGTTAATACTTCTTTGTAAATTATTATTTGAAGTAACAAAACCATGGTTAATTTGTA